TGTCACTTTAGAGGAAGAAAGACATAAAGATAATTAGTTACTCAGATTTGTTCACTGGTAGAGGATATGACTTTTTGATGATGAGTATAATACTTTTGAACAACATAAATATTTAATCCCAATGTAAGGTTTAGAAGCAATGATTAAAACTGACTTACATAATGAAGTTGATAATCATGCCGTGGTGGATTTGTCTCTGTTGGGTGCCTGCTCTCCCCCCAAAAATCTTCTTCCAGTGCTTATGATATATAAAATAAAAAAAAATAAACAAATCTCTTATCATTAGCAGTTATCAGTTTTTTAAGAGGTGATGTCAAAATATTTGAGAACGGGCATCTACTAAAATATAAGAGATTTAACGTTAGACCAATAACATTTCTCAACTCTTCTGTAGATTCCAGTGTTTCAGAGAGTAAATGACCGTTTTATCAGTCAAATCATATTTATATAGCGCTTTTCACAATATATCAGTCACTTTACTCATTTGGATTCTACTTCCCTAGTAAATAAAAAATAACTTCTACCAGAATATATTAGAACACATTTCATACTAATTATACTTCAATTTCATTAACATAATGACACATCACCTAAAAAGACTTTATTACACAATGAACATTTTATATATATAAATATATATATATATAATATATTATATATATATATATATATATTACGACAAAAAATAAAAGTAATAACGTTACCACTATTAAGTGTACCAAAAGTATATTTGCAATAGTTCCACTTTAGCACAATCAAATACATTACTCAGAAGCACTAACGTTGCTTTCAGATAAATATGGTTAGCTACCCGTTATGTTAACGTTACAAACACAACTGCAGGTAACTTAGTAGCCTACGTCCGTTATCCGTTTATAAACTCTCGTATGTAACGTTTAACGTTAAGTTACACAGAACATTTCTGGGTAGTTAATGAACTCCATTCACATACGTTTTGTTTATCTGCATATTCAACCATGAACTATAACACTCTCATCCACTTATTTGAATGTAATACCTAAACGTTTATATAAGTGGATCTCAGTTTTTCTAAAATGATAGTGGAGACAGAAAAATGTTCTCTTACCTGATCGCCAATATTGCAGGATCTCACGCATCCAGTCTGAGCGTCTTCTGTGTGTTCACATCTTCTGTTCTCCTTCGTTTAGGCTACATGTCACATCGCAAATTAGTTCAAAATAATAATTGAAAGACGAGTAATCTTGCTGAGCAGCCGTCGTCATCAACTCAAATGTATTTGATTTTTCAAACTTGACCAGTAAAAAGGCGCGCACAGTTGTCATTGGCCAGTTACATAGATGACAGTCAGATTAACCAATCATGATCAAACAAGCTGAAACACCGAAGTTACGACGTCACTCTGTAGGCCAAAACGCAGAAGTGAATTTGCATTTTAGCATTACAGTTCCCTCGCTCTAAAGCCTATGGGTTTTTTGAATGGGTTTTTGCTAAATCTCCTGAAATAAGGTCTCTGTGAACAGAGCCTCACGTATTTTCACGTTTTGATCTATGACATAGAACACACAATTATAACCTGCGTGTGTTTTTTTTTTTAAAACTTTATTGTGTCTGATTGTGTTTTTTAAAAATCTTTATATATGCTTCAAAATGTATATAAATTTTGGATTAACTTGTAAGATTATCTTGCTAGACAGAACGTGTAAGGGTCACACCCTCTGTTAAACACAGATCTTATTTTTTGCGATTTTCCAAAAGTCTATGGGGAAAATGCATTGCTTTTTTACCGAGGGAACCCATGCGCCGCTAGCTTCCGGGTTGTCCTACAAAGTGACGTCATCACTTCGGCACTCTATTGTTTCAGTGGTAATGATAAAAAAAAAAAAAAAAAAAGTGGTAATGATTTTTTTTTTTTAAGAAATCCGTGTTTAATTTAATTTGTAGGCTATATTATTTGATTACTGTTTTTATGAAAGTGTGTGAATAAAATGTAATCCTGCAAGCTAAACTTTAGGCACACACACAAAATTGTAAACCCCAAACAAAATCGCACAAAGCAAAAAAAGTTTATTCTGCACTTGTTGAGATTGAAATTATATCCATTATTTTTATTATTGTTATATACTGATTCTATTTCAACACAAATTTATATTTTTGAAGTGGTGTTTTGATCAAAATATCATAAAATGCTACAATAATAATTATAAATTAATAATTAGAAATAATAATAATTTAAATGTTATGGATTTCTTGAAGACATGACATTGATTCAACAAACAGATAAAAAATTCAACTGTTTAGCATTAAAATGTTACATTGTGTACATTGTGTGCATTCTGTACTCGCTGCAAATGTGATTTTTGAATTTAGTTTTGATTTTCCCTTCAAACACTGCATGTTGCATTCTAACTTTTTTTACTTGGGCTATTTCATCATCTGGACTGAGTCTCTTTCAATAATCAAAACCCTAACCCTAACCCCAATATTTAAAATCTCTAGAATTACATTGTCACTAACTGACTGACCAGAAAACTCTTGAGTATTTACATTGAATAAGGGCATTTGGCTGATGCTAGGGGTTTGATTTATTCTAGCCATCTCAAGTCATTAGAATATTTTGATAGATAAGTAGCTTCTGTAACCCGTTCTTCATATTGTACAGTGACCATTTTCGGGATATTTTGAACCATTTGTATAACTATATTGAGATAAGCATATTGCAGTAACTCAGAAGTTTGCAGTAACAAAATTAAACCACTAAAAGTTGACACTTTGAGTTTGAATACTTAGTGTCAATGATTAGGGTTGGAACTAATATCTGCTGAACGCCAACACAGGACTGGATTTGAAGAGCCGTGGCCTATACTGTATCCACATACCAATACTATTGCAACAGTATTGGGACACCCATCCAAGTTATTGAATGGGGGTGTTTCAATCACTTCCATGGCCACAGTTGTATAAAATCAAGCACCTAGGTATGCAGGTGCTTCTACAAACATGTGTAAAAACATAGGTTGCTTTCAGGAGCTCAGTGAATTCAAGCGTGGTACCATGATAGGTTTCCACCTGTGGAATAAGTCCATTTGTGAAATTTCCTCACTACTAAATATGGTCAACTGTTAGTGGTATTTTAACAAGGATTATACTGTAAATCATAAATATACTGTATATAAATGTTTTAATGATTGCACAGATATGTTTTTTTTACAAGTGTATAGTTTATGAAGTCATTTACAGATGCACAATTTATATTTATTCCATAGTTCATTATATTCACAATTATACTTGTATATATTTCCGCATTAAGGATCCATATAGAGATTACTTATGTGGAAACTACTTTGGGCCCATGTAGGCAGCCTTTATGAGACTGTTTGTGTTTGACCATGTCTGACCCATGCGGTTTATCAAAATGGGCCCCATATATTTTTCACATTCAGAACCCATATAGAGATTACTTATGAGGGAACTACCTTGGGCCCATGTAGGCAGCCTAAATGGGACTGTTTGTGTTTGCCCATATCTGACCCATGCGGTTTATCAAAGTGGGCCCATATGTTTTTCCCATTCAGAACCCAAATAGAGATTACCTATGAGGGAACTACCTTGGGGCCATGTAGGCAGCCTAAATGGGACTGTTTGTGTTTGCCCATGTCTGACCCATGCGGTTTATCAAAATGGGCCCCATATATTTTTTCACATTCAGAACCATATAGAGATTACTTATGAGGGAACTACCTTGTGGGCCCATGTAGGCAGCCTATATGGGACTGCTTGTGTTTGCCCATATCTGACCCATGCGGTTTATCAAAATGGGCCCCATATACTTTTACATTCAGAACCCATATAGAGATTACTTATGAGGGAACTACCTTGGGCCCATGTAGGCAGCCTATATGGGACTGCTTGTGTTTGCCCATATCTGACCCATGCGGTTTATCAAAAATGGGCCCCATATATTTTTCACATTCAGAACCCATATAGAGATTACTTATGAGGGAACTACCTTGGGCCCATGTAGGCAGCCTATATGGGACTGCTTGTGTTTGCCCATATCTGACCCATGCGGTTTATCAAAATGGGCCCCATATATTTTTCACATTCAGAACCCATATAGAGATTACCTATGAGGGAACTACCTTGGGCCCATGTAGGCAGCCTATATGGGACTGCTTGTGTTTGCCCATATCTGACCCATGCGGTTTATCAAAATGGGCCCCATATATTTTTCACATTCAGAACCCATATAGAGATTACTTATGAGGGAACTACTTGGGCCCATGTAGGCAGCCTATATGGGACTGTTTGTGTTTGCCCATGTCTGACCCATGCAGTTTATCAAAGTGGGCCCCACATGTTTTTTCCCATTCAGAACCCATATAGAGATTACTTATGAGGGAACTACCTTGGGCCCATGTAGGCAGCCTATATGGGACTGTTTGTGTTTGCCCATATCTGACCCATGCGATTTATCAAAATGGGCCCCACATATTTTTCACATTCAGAACCCATATAGAGATTACCTATGAGGGAACTACCTTGGCCCATGTAGGCAGCCTATATGGGACTGCTTGTGTTTGCCCATATCTGACCCATGCGGTTTATCAAAATGGGCCCCATATATTTTTCACATTCAGAACCCATATAGAGATTACCTATGAGGGAACTACCTTGGGCCCATGTAGGCAGCCTATATGGACTGCTTGTGTTTGCCCATATCTGACCCATGCGGTTTATCAAAATGGGCCCCATATATTTTTCACATTCAGAACCCATATAGAGATTACTTATGAGGGAACTACTTTGGGCCCATGTAGGCAGCCTATATGGGACTGCTTGTGTTTGCCCATATCTGACCCATGCGGTTTATCAAAATGGGCCCCATATATTTTTCACATTCAGAACCCATATAGAGATTACTTATGAGGGAACTACCTTGGGCCCATGTAGGCAGCCTATATGGGACTGCTTGTGTTTGCCCATATCTGACCCATGCGGTTTATCAAAATGGGCCCCATATATTTTCACATTCAGAACCCATATAGAGATTACTTATGAGGGAACTACCTTGGGCCCATGTAGGCAGCCTATATGGGACTGTTGTGTTTGCCCATGTCTGACCCATGCAGTTTATCAAAGTGGGCCCCACATGTTTTTCCATTCAGAACCCATATAGAGATTACTTATGAGGGAACTACCTTGGGCCCATGTAGGCAGCCTATATGGGACTGTTTGTGTTTGCCCATATCTGACCCATGCGATTTATCAAAATGGGCCCCACATATTTTTCACATTCAGAACCCATATAGAGATTACCTATGAGGGAACTACCTTGGGCCCATGTAGGCAGCCTATATGGGACTGCTTGTGTTTGCCCATATCTGACCCATGCGGTTTATCAAAATGGGCCCATATATATTTTCACATTCAGAACCCATATAGAGATTACCTATGAGGGAACTACCTTGGGCCCATGTAGGCAGCCTATATGGGACTGCTTGTGTTTGCCCATATCTGACCCATGCGGTTTATCAAAATGGGCCCCATATATTTTTCACATTCAGAACCCATATAGAGATTACTTATGAGGGAACTACCTTGGGCCCATGTAGGCAGCCTATATGGGACTGTTTGTGTTTGCCCATATCTGACCATGCGATTTATCAAAATGGGCCCCATATATTTTTCACATTCAGAACCCATATAGAGATTACCTATGAGGGAACTACCTTGGGCCCATGTAGGCAGCCTATATGGGACTGCTTGTGTTTGCCCGTATCTGACCCATGCGGTTTATCAAAATGGGCCCCATATATTTTTCACATTCAGAACCCATATAGAGATTACCTATGAGGGAACTACCTTGGCCCATGTAGGCAGCCTAAATGGGACTGTTTGTGTTTGCCCATGTCTGACCCATGCAGTTTATCAAAGTGGGCCCCATATGTTTTTCCCATTCAGAACCCATATAGAGATTACCTATGAGGGATCTACCTTGGGCCCATGTAGGCAGCCTAAATGGGACTGTTTGTGTTTGCCCATGTCTGACCCATGCGGTTTATCAAAGTGGGCCCCATATGTTTTTCCCATTCAGAACCCATATAGAGATTACCTATGAGGGAACTACCTTGGGCCTATATAGGTTGCTTATATGGGATTGATTGTGTTTGCACATGTCTGTCCGATATAGTTTGGCCATGTGGGCCCCATATG